ACAAAGCGAGAGTTACCGAAAAACAAATTAACCTCATCTATTATATAAATACCCTTGTGCTGGTAATAAGAAAATCTCTTCTTTCTTGCGTTGCTGATTACATGTTCAGAACCATTGATTACTCCTTACTTTTCTTACCTACTCTCAAATAATCATAGCAATAGTAATTCATTTTCAACAATCATATGTAATCATGAAATTAATAAGACTATACACAAAAAATCCATAGCAAGTTAAACCGAAAAATTGAATAATGATCGCCTTGTCACTTCGTTGACAAGTTCCTCAAAATCAAACATATAATTGACTGGTGAATAGTTTAACAGATTCAAAACCTGTTTTGAAAGATTTGTTCATTAGATAGTAAATAACCAAGTATGAATAACGAAACTAATGACAAATAAATAAAAGACATTTTCTATTATGTTAATTTACTGTTTAGGTGACAAAACTTTCATCGAAGGTTCTCGCTTTGAACCCTTCTTATATCGAAATTTATTCTAACACTTCTAACACTTCTAACACTTCTAACACTTCTAAATTAATTAATTAACATGTATAATCTTAAATTATTAAAGTCTCTCGGATTTATAACATTCAAATCTAAATAAAAATAAAACTTCTATAAAAAGACGAATAATATTAAAATAAATTTCTTTCGTTTCTTAGAGCTGTAAAAACGTGAAAACTAATTACGAGGATCTTTTTGGTAGGACTTTTGACAATATGGAACACGTAAAAATCTGTTTGGAGATGAAGCATTAAGGCCAGTTACTACATTTTTTGTTGATAGATTATCAAGATCTATCTTCATTTGAGCTGGAGATCTATTTCCGCTATCTGAAATCATCAAAGCAACTGTTCCTGCGACTAAATAATAAAAAGTTTAGGATGAATCCTGATTTATACAAAAAAATTTATTTAATAAAACATTTTTACAGTAATCACAAACCGTGAGGGGATGCTTGACTCGTTCCTGAATATGTTGATAAAGCGGTAGAAGATTGACTTCCAGCTGCAGTAATGTCCGTCCCTAGTTATAAAAAATAAAATTCAATGAATCTATATATAAAAGCATTTACGTATTATTAATTACGGCGAATTTGTGAAATCAAATCTTTTGTTTTGAATCTTTAATAATATTAAATGTGAATAAAATATAAATTGTCTATGATTAAATCTATAGTTAATTCCACAACTCCGCCGTAAACGTAACATTCGAAATTTTATTTAGTACCTGGAGCAAAGATATTAACGCATGGTCCAAAGTTTGAGAAGCCTGCAATAGCATCTGTACCAGTATTAGTAGCTCCAACTGCAATAGCATTAGGTGCTGATGCTGGTGAAACTGTACAAGCATCTGCTGCATTATTTCCAGCAGCGATAATGATATGAATACCCTTTTTAATTAGTTCTTCAACTGCGTCATTTGCAATCTGTGAAAAGCCACCACTTATAGATATGCTATAGAATAGATTAATTAAGGTTTATCGTAACAGCAAAATATCTAAATGTAGAGATTGTAGGGTAGATAAAATATTACTTAATCACTGTATTCTTGTTAGAGCTATTATTATGCTGGTTTCCTATGTAGGTTAATGCTGCAATGATATCACTATACTGGCAACTATTCCCGATGCAAACCTTAATGGAAATTAAAGATGCTAGTTTTGCTACTCCATATTGAGTTCCTGAAATAATTTTCAATTCAGAGTCATGTATTAAGAAATTTTTCAAATAACATTTTACTAGTACTATAGTAACTTTTGTTACCTCCAACCTATTAATATGATTATTATATTTAAATTTGTTAGTAAATTATTGTAGAAAAATAAGTATAGTCACAAGATCAAAAACTGAAGTAAATTGTTCTGGCTTTGCTCATTAGGATTCTAAACGTACGAATAAAAAATCTATAATACAGTACTTACAATCCCTGCGACATTTGTTCCATGGCTTTTCAAGAAAAAAATTTTTTTTTAAAAAAAAGATTAACTCATATAAATTATTCATTATCATTATGAATGGAAAATTAAAAATAGATACCCATTATCATCAACGTTTGAACAATTATTACAGAAAGCAGGACCGAGTGTTGCTCGTCTTCCAAATTCTATATTACTTATATTAACACCCCTGCATTAAGGAAATAGCATTGAATGTATAAATAAATAATTGTCGAATAATTGTTGCTATAGTTATTTTAATTTTATTTTAATTGATGCGAAATTATGTAATAACTTACGTATCAACAATATAAACATTTACTCCAGAGCCAGCACTATTAGGATATGTATATGTTCTATCCAATTGAGGGGATGGTTGGTCAATACGATCCAGATTCTAAAAAGTTAGATAATTGAAGTTACTTAATCAGGTTTCTTCAAGCAAAAATATTTTGGTGATTCAAATGATCTTAAATTTAAACATTAATTAAAAAATACGCATACATTTGGGGCAAGAGGTTCAGTTGCAAAAAGCGGACAGAGAGTATTTGTAGGCTTTACGGTAGTAGAAATTTTGGTAGGAGTTTTGGTAGATGTTTCGGTAGGAGTTTCAGTAGGAATGTTTGTAGTAATTTTGGCAGGGATTTCCCTAGGAGTTTCGGTAGGGATCTCTGTAGTAGTTTCGGTAGATGTTTGGGTAAAAGTATAATCATTATATCGAATATGTTGAGGAGCAGAAATATGCAACGTTTTATCATTTTCGACATTAACAACCTCAGGTAAAACAGCCAATGAAGCAGCTTCGCTAGGGTTAAACCGTCCGATGTAACAAATAAATGACCCAAAACTGATAATTTTAATAATTTTATGATCAATAAATTGATTAATATTGTTGCTAATTTCTTTATTATAACAAGATTTTAAA